GGAATAATACCCCATTGTTGATATCAGTGGGAGAAATAGTGCCCCATCATTGCTGTCAGTGGGAGTAATAGTACTCTATCATTGGTGTCTGTGGGAGAAATAGTGCCCCATCATTGCTGTCAGTGGGAGTAATAGTACCCTATCATTGGTGTCTGTGGGAAGGAATGGTGTGGTGCCCCCAGCACTGGAGTCAGTGGATGAAATAGGGCCCCATCATTGCTGTCAGTGGGAGTAATAGTAGCCTATCATTGGTGTCTGTGGGAGGAATAGTGTGGTGCCCCCAACACTGGAGTCAGTGGATGAAATAGGGCCCCATCATTGCTGTCAGTGGGAGTAATAGTACCCTATCATTGGTGTCTGTGGGAGTGGTGTGGTGCCCCCCACCCTATCAGTGGATGGGGCCCCATGTGCTGTGGGGAGTAATAGTACCCTATCATTGGTGTAATGGGAGGAATGGTGTGGTGCCCCCAACACTGGAGTCAGTGGATGAAATAGGGCCCCGTTATTGCTGTCAGTGGGAAGAATAGTGCCCATCATTGGTTTTAGTGAGGGAAATAGTGACCATTGTTGGCATCAGTAGGAGGAATGGTGCCCCACTGTTGGTAATAGTCGGAGGAATGGTACCCCATTGTTGGTATTTGGGGGAGAAATAGTGCCCCATCAATGGTGTCTGTGGAAAAAATGGTGCCCCCACACTGATGTGCCGCAGTTTGAGGACCACTACCTTAGATGATCTCACACTGCAGATATACAGGTATGAGGCTACAGAACAGGAGTGCCTAGGCAGGGGAAGTGCACTGCTATTTTTCAGGTGGAATTTAAGACAAAAGGTACGTCTTGGAGGGCACCGCTTAGGGGCAAATAGTATAACAGGAGCGATTTGATTACCACCATGATAAAAGCCGCAAGGGTCGTTATGCATTGAATTATACTCGAATTATGTAGTCCAAATCTATTTACTATACCTTGTTAACAATGCACAGTGTTGAACCCAGAATGCCTACAATAAACAACTTTGTAGTTATATGAAGACACGCCGATTCTCATTGAACATCTGGGGTTAAACCACCTCCTGCAAATTAGCCGCTTGTTACAACAAGAAATACAATGAAATTATCCCCAGAAAGATGCAGCTACACAGACTGCCATATAGTTGGCCGTTATTACTATTACCGAGCAGCACCCAGCTAATTGCCTGGACCACGCCACTATAACTTACCGGGGCTTTTTAAAATTCCACATTAGAACTCGATATTGTGTAAATAAGAAGGAGAAAGTTAAAAGCCATTATGGGTAATGGCCGCTAGTGTTTTACCCGTAAAGATGACATTTTTATGACAGCAGTCAGGTTCCTCTGCATGTTTTTGCATACCTTTGGCAATCTGGTCGTTCTGCTCTCTTTTAATTGCTTTTATTAGCTCAATAAATAGTCTCCAAATTGCTCATTTCCCCCATCCAATCTCCACCGTGATGCTTCTACATGATGGATGGGATTCCAAAGGTCATGTTCAGCACTGCAGCACACCCAGACCTTGCAACCGGCCTGAATGGAGAGCCTCATGGTGCAATGTTAATCTGTAAAGCATGGATGAGCCATCACCATTAAAGGATAAGTTCACCTTTTTGACAAAAATAATAAATGCACTTTTTTTGTGGGTAAAAAAATGTGCATTTATTATTTTTGTCTGTAGGAGCCTGGAAAGCATTGCACTAGCGATCAGTAGATAGTTGATGCCATGAAGGTGTCATGCAGACCTGTCAGAATATCTGCTTGCCGTACGGGTGTATGGGGTGTACGGGATGTACGGAGTGTATGGAATGTACGGGGTGTATGGGATGTAGGGGATGTATGGATGTACATGATGTATGGGATGTATGGGGTGTACGGGATGTATGGGATGTACCATGTGTACGGGATGTACAGGATGTACGGGATGTATGGGATGTACGGGGTGTACAGGATGTACGGGATATATGGGATGTACAGGGTGTACGGGATGTACAGGATGTACAGGATGTATGGAATATACGGGATGTATGGGATGTACGGAATGTACAGGATGTATGGGATGTACGGAATGTATGGGATGTATGGGATGTACTGGATGTACAGATGTATGGGATGTACGGAATGTACATATACAGGATGTATGGGATGTACGGAATGTTATATATACGGATGTATGGGATGTACGGAATGTACGGTATATACGGGATGTACGGGATGTATGGGATGTACAGAGTATACGTGATGTACAGGGTGCATGGAATGTATGGAATATAAGGTATGTACGGAATGTATGGGATGTATGGGATGTATGGAATGTATGGGATGTATGGGTTGTATGGAATGTATGGGATGTATGGAATGTACGGAATATACGGGGTATATGGGATGTACGGGAAGTATGGAATGTATGGGATTGTACAGGATGTATGGGATGTACGGGATGTATGGGATGTACAAGATGTATGGGATGTACGGGATGTACAGGATGTATGGGATGTACAGGATGTACGACACGTATGGGATGTACAGGATGTACAGGATGTACGGGATGTACGGGATGTACGACATGTATGGGATGTACAGGATGTACGGGATGTATGGGATGTACGGGATGTATGGGATGTACAGGATGTACGGGATGTACGGGATGTACATGACGTATGGGATGAACGGGATGTACGGGATGTACAGCCCATAAGGCCTGGACCCCTCCCAGGTTCCACACTTCATCTTGCTCATTCCATCTTCCACCCGCACTCTCCTGCCACTGAGCAGGCTTAGCCACTCTAAGGTCTGTCCTGACCACATGCCAAGCCTCCTGCTTGGGGATTGGCCAGAATCCCCTACTAAGCATGCAGACCAGCCACTCCTCACCCCCCACCCACTGAATTCTGGAGACATATCCAAGTTCCAGAGAGCTGATCTGCAGAGTCTCTCAGCACTGACCAAAATTTGAACCCCTCTGACTATTCCACCAGGCTGCTAATCAGCCTCTAACTAAAAAATTATCAACTATCTCCCCCTATCTTCCCTAGGAGGGTGCTGCATACTGTTGGCAGTGAACACTAAGACCAGAGACCCCCGGTGCCAACGAAGGCTGACTGGAATTAGTACCACTGGTTACATAGTTTAGACTCCTTGGTGTTGGTTAGTGCTTGGTGGTCCCAACTGTACAGTAAGTGTCTACTGCACTATCGTGTCTTTATATTGTGCCAGGCCTATTTGCCCAATGTAACCCTTTCAAACAGTAGGTGTGTCCGTGAGTGCAAGTACTAGGAGTAGACCATTGTCTCTGGAAGCAGAAGAACCCAACCAACCAGCGGCTCCTTCGGGGGTAGCGCTACCTACCATAATTACAACAAATGTGTAACTTAAATAATCTTTCAGGCTGATAGCCAGAATAAACCGTGAGTGAGTCCGGTTCTCGGGTATGGGAAGGACTCGACTGTTACCTGCATGGTGCCAACTGCCCCTTAGCGTGCTGCCAGAGACTTCCAAAGTTCCATGAAAATGCCGACTTTCTGAATGTCAATATTCTCATAAACAAACTGCCCGTGTCAGGAATGGACTCACCATTAGTGGTGGGACACATCTGCCGTGTGGGATGCAGTACCAGGGCTGGCCAGCGGGTGCTCTCAGCAACCAGAAGCTCACTCCTGCAATCAGCCATCACCTGAGGCTGATTGCAGGAGGTGTATTTAAGGAATGGCCAGACCAGCAGTCAGTGCCTTGGTGTATGTTTCCCATGAGCCCCTGTACCGGCATCCTGTCTGCTTCTTGCCTGATCCTGACTCTGCTTTGATCCTGACTCTGAAGGAACTCTGCCTGTCCTGACTTCGGCTATTCCTGACCACTCTTCCACTAGCTCCTGGTACCCTGTTTGCCCGTTTGCTACCGACCCGGCCTACCCGACTACGTTTGATTTGTATGTATGGTTATCTGTTGGGTGTGGGTTGTTTGCACTGTGTTATGTTTACCTTGCACTGCGTTTGTGTTGTTTAGTCTTAATAAATTGTCTTATTTACACTATACCTGAAGCCTGCGTTTCCCTGTGTCAGTCCACACACCTCTGGTCATACTCGGAGCCCTGACAGCCCGCCTCCCAGATGGTCTTACAGGATCATATGATATTATAAGATCGGACTTGGTGCCTTACATGATGACGTGCTGGAAGGGTGGGCATACTTCCCCCATTCCCAGAAATCTTTTGAGAGGTTTGAAGGCATTCAAGATAGTTGGGTTGAAGAAGGTGAAGCAGGAAGGCGCTTCTAAGTGCAGTATTCCAGGTCAACTTCCATAAAAAAAACACTTACTTAATGTAGTAATACAAACAGGCTCTAATGTAATCCGTCGGTTTCGGAGCATGAGCAGATGAGCAGAGCTCTTTTTTCGAGACTTGGTCTTGAAGAACCGTAAAAAAACGCTTTTTCTTAAAGTTGACCTGGAATACTGCACTTAGAAGCGCCTTCTTGTTTCACCTTCTTCTGCACAGAGTTTGTCTCCACTCTTTAGAAGTGCTGCTCAGTACCGGTTTCCCTGCACACCGTCCATCATCAGCTGCCATACTTCCACAACATTGTCCACCGACGCTCCCTACTACCTACCAGGGGCGGACTGACAACTCATGGGGCCCCCGGGCAATAGGGGATCATGGGGCCCCTGTGTCCTTGCCCACACTCAAAGCACACCCAAAAAGCCTATAAAAAAGGTGCCAGGGGCACATCATGGGGCCCCCTACTGACCCTGGGCCCTCGGGCAGTGCCCAAGTGCTCGAATGGTCAGTCCGCCCCTGATACCTACCTTAAGATAGTTGGGTTGACACCCGTCCTCTTCATTGAGTCCTCACGCCCACGGGACATTCTTACAGCAGCTGTTTTTGGCGTTTGACGTTTTTTTCTTACAGCCAGTAAACCCCCCAGACAGGGGTGGACTGACCATTTGGAAACTCGGGCACTGCCCGAGGGCCCGGGGTCAGTAGGGGGCCCCATGAGATGCCCCTTGTACCTTTTTCATAGGCTTTTTTGAGTTTGGGCAAGGACATAGGGTCCCCATGATCCCCTATTGCCTGAGGGCTCCATGAGTTGTCAGTCCGCCCCTGCCCCCAGCATGTTCTCCTATGTGTCCATATACACATAGACTGGAATCAACGTTTTTTTCTTACAGCCAGTAAACCCCCCAGCCAGGGGTGGACTGACCATTTGGAAACTCGGGCACTGCCTGTTTTACCGGGGTCATTAGCGGGCCCCATTAGATGCCCCTTGTACCTTTTCATAGGCTTTTTTGAGTTTGGGCAAGGACACAGGGACCCCATGATCCCTATTGCTTGGGGGCCCCATGAGTTGTCAATCCGCTCCTGCCCCCAGCATGTTCTCCTATGTGTCCATACACACATAGACTGGAATCAACGTTTTTTGGCTGGAAAAAAAACCCCAGAACTAGTGGTCTTCTGCAGGAATGTTTTAGCGGTTTAAAAACGCTCTAACGATGCAAAACGCAGTAAAACGCCACAAACCGGCGTTTTTGGACAAACAAAATTATTATTTTTGGTTAAAAGAAAAAAAAAGCGCAAATGTGGAAAAACGCTGCAAAACGCCGCTAAATGCTAATGCAAAAATGCTAAAAAAAGCTGCTGAAAAACTCATGTTTTTAACGCGAGTTTAAACCGCTAACATCACATGTGGGTGTTACCTAGGATGGTCTGCATTCAGCTCTGCCCCCGGCTACATCACCAACCTGGTCTCAGAATATCAACCAAACCGCTCTCGTCGATCCTCCTAAGACCTTCTGCTCTCTAGTTCCCATGTCACCTCCTCCCACACTCGCCTCCAGAACTTCTCCCGAGCTTCTCCCATCCTATGGAACTCCCTACCCCAATCTGTCTGGCTGTCTCCTAATCTATCCACCCTTAGACGATCCCTGAAAACCTTTCTCTTTAAAGAAGTCTATCCTGCTTCTACCTAGTAAACTGCCATTTATTTCCTCCATCAGCCCATCCCCCCCACAGCTATTACCTTTTGTATCACTCCACCCTCCCTCCTAGATTGTAAGCTCCCAGGATCAGGGCCCTCTGTTTCCTCTTGTACCAAATTGTATTGTAACTGTTATGTCTGCCTTCATTTTTTAAAGCGCTGCGCAGGGGTGGACTGACAACTCATGGGGCCCCCGGGCAATAGGGGATCATGGGGCCCTGTGTCCTTGCCCAAACTCAAAAAAGCCTATGAAAAAGGTACCAGGGGCATCTCATGGGGCCCCCTACTGACCCCGGGCCCTCAGGCAGTGCCCGAGTTTCCAAATGGTCAGTCCGCCCCTGGCGCTGCGCAAACTGTTGGCTCAATATAAATCCTGTATAATAAAAAATAATAATAAATACCGCCTGCTCAGGAGCATTTACGCCTGCAGACTGACCCCCGCCCATCGAGGCATTATGGTATTTGCATAACTTCCCCCCCCGTGAGGCAGCCCGCTGCTTGCATCAGGACCGAGGGCTCTTTGGAGGAGTGGTGTGGTGTTTTCAAGAAGCTATGTACGGCACCCTGCCAGCCCCGCCCACCAGCCCCGATCTTCCTGCATTGCATAGAGAAGCACAAAGACCCAGTGATGACCTCACCAGTTCTAATATAAGCTATGAAATGAAAATCGAAAAGGTTTTATTTAAAAATGATATAGCACGATAAATGTATGCGGGGGGGGGGGTAAAATATAAGCAGCTTCAGCTTTAACCTCTTTACCTCTCAAAACTACAAACTGCAGAACAAGCAGCACATTCAGCAATAGGCCCATAACTCGATTTTTACCGGGCTGTGTTTTCCCGGAAGATTAACTCGAGTTCGAGTTCTGGAGATGGGCTTAATGAAATAATTCATGGGATTCATGAATTCAGGATGAGCTGCTTAATACAGGGAGTAGCTGCCTGACAAGGGGAAATATATGAACAAACGACTTGTTCTCCACGATGGAAATAATGGGCCCCAACCAGGGACAAGGCAGAGACTCCGCTCACCAAAATACCGGACAGGGAATGGAGACCGAGTCACATGACCTGTACTTAAAGGATGACTCCGATCAATATATTTTAAAATAAATAAATAAATAAATATATATATATATATATATATATACAGTATATATATATACACACATTTTTTTAATTATTTATTTCTATACATACTGCATGTTGAAATGCTTTTTTATTACAAAATGCATGAAAAATATTTTTACAAATACCTGTACTTAAAGGATGACTCCGATCAATATATTTTAAAATAAATAAATAAATATATATACATACACACACATACATACATTTTTTAAAATTATTTATTTCTATACATGCTGCATGTTGAAATGCGTTTTTATTACAAAATGCATGAAAAATATTTTTACAAATACAAATACCTGTACTTAAAGGAGGACTCCGATCAATATATTTTAAAATAAATAAATATAAATATAAATATATATATATAAATATATATATATATATATATATATATATATATATATATATATATATATATATATACACACACACATACATTTTTTTAAATTATTTATTTATATACATACTGCATGTTGAAATGCGTTTTTATTACAAAATGCATGAAAAATATTTTTACAAATACATTTCCAATATACTGTATGCCTTTAAAAATACAAATCCACATTTTTGGAATGCATTTACAAGTATATGTAAAAATGTATTTTAAAATGACTTTTTAATACGTAAAAAAAAAATCTGAAGAATATATTTAAAAAATATATATATTTTTAAAAATATATTTTTTAAAAAATATATTCTTCAGATTTTTTTAACATATATTTTTACATATATTTGTAAATGCATTCCAAAAATGTAGATTTGTATTTTTAATGACATACAGTATATTTGAAATGTATTTTTAAAAAAAATATTTTTCATATATTTTGTAATAAAAACTCATTTCAACATGCATATATATATATATATATATATATATATTATATATATATATATATATATATATATATATTTATTGAAATATATTGAATATGGCCAAAATTGTAGCATTTCAAATATATGTCAATATATTTTTGAAGAATATTTTTAAAATATATTTCAAATATATTTTTCTTCCATGTGGGAACACACTGCAGAGCTTAGTGAGGAGAGCTCTAAAAGGTGATTGGAGGGAAGGGATGCACCTCCCTTCACACAGCACACAGGAACAGAGCTGAGGCTTTCAATCACAGATTGTGTACTGGAGGTCCCTCCCCTGTCATGTTTTTTTCTCTTGGTGTCAGGAAAACTTGTCAGCAGTGACTTATACAGAACGCAGATGAATGAGGCAGCAAACAGAAATGACACTTAGCACTCTGGATGGAAAGTAAACCCTATAGCGGGATATGTGTTGTTCATATTTCAAGTCTGAGATTTACAAGCACTTTAAATAAATGTGTTCATGCATGGAATTCAGCTTTAAGATAAGCCCTGCTGATCCTGTCCTTGTTCGGGTACTTCCTGTTATAGGGAGACAACTGTCTCCCAATTGCACTCCTGTATTGTCACCCTGGCACATGTGCCTCTGGAGTAGAGTACAAGCGGCCATACTAACACACATTGCTTATGCATGTTCCACCATTGTCACCATCAGGAAGCCGGTCCAGAGCAACCATGTGCTTGAGAGAGTGCATTCCGACAGGAAGCGGCTAAAGAAGGCTACTGGAGATCCGGAGCACTGAGATGCAAAAAAAGTAAAAATAATTGAAACATTGTTGAAAAAAAACCAATTAAACAAAAAAATTGCAATGTTTTGTGATCCACAGTGCACATAGCAAACTAAATGTCACTTCCAATCTCACCATGGAAGACATTGGCTTTGGACAACCCAGTGGAAGGCCTTCACCCCAATCTCACCATGGAAGACATTGGCTTTGGACAACCCCAGTGGAAGGCCTTCACCCCAATCTCACCATGGAAGACATTGGCTTTGGACAACCCCAGTGGAAGGCCTTCACCCCAATCTCACCATGGAAGACATAGAAGATGTATATCGCAAGTGACCCCAGAGGTGAAACTTTACTGAAGCATGAAAAAAATAGTTAAATAAGTTCAAAACATGACCGGCTATGGCTTCTTCATTCCTACACACAGCTTATTCAAAAAATAATGGCGATGAAATTCTTTGTGATTTTGAAATGTGTCAAAGGAAGAAGCCTCTGGGGGTAATGTTTTGTGTTCATACTTCAATAAAGTTATACCAGTGGGATCACTTCTGGATTGGGGCTTTCATTTCTTTCATGGTCAGATGGTGACATTGGCTTTGGACAACCCCAGTGGAAGGCCTTCACCCCAGATTGGAAGGGTTGCAGAGATTTGGGCTTTGAGCAGAATTTTTTCAAATGACAACCCCAGTGGATGGCCTTCACCCCAGATCAGAAGGGTTGCAGAGATTTGGGCTTTGAGCAGAATTTTCTCGAATGACAACCCCAGTGGAAGGCCTTCACCCCATATCAGAAGGGTTGCAGAGATTTGGGCTTTGAGCAGAATTTTCTCGAATGACAACCCCAGTGGATGGCCTTAATCCCAATCTCACCATGGAAGACATAGAAGATGTACGTCGCAAGTGACTTTGAGTGAAACTTTACTGAAGCATGAAAAAAAATTGTTAAACAAGTTCAAAACATGACCGGCAATATGGCTTCTTCATTCCTACACACAGCTTATTCAAAAAGTCATGGCGATGAAATTCTATGACATCTTGAAATGCATCAAAGGAAGACGTCTCTGGGGGTAATGTTTTATGTTCATACTTCAATAAAGTTTTACCCGTGGGATCACTTCTAGATTGGGGCTTTCATTTCTTTCATTGTCAGATGGTGACATTGGCTTTGGACAACCCCAGTGGAAGGCCTTCACCCCAATCTCACCATGGAAGACATAGAAGATGTACGTCGCAAGTGACCCCAGAGGTGAAACTTTACTGAAGCATGAAAAAAATAGTTAAATAAGTTCAAAACATGACCGGCTATGGCTTCTTCATTCCTACACACAGCTTAATCAAAAAGTCATGGCGATGAAA